TAGTACTGTATGCTAAATAATTATATTTATGAAGAAAATATAAACTCTTTCAAAATAACATCTGAGCATGTTTTGCTCATTCTTCATAAAGTTCTCATGTTGGCTATATTTTAATTTTGTAAATGGTTACAAAGCAACTTAAATAAGATTTTCTGGACTTCCGGGGAAGAAATGGTGAACTGAAGATGGCTCCGCTAGAAGTGGAGCCAACAACTGTGGCAGAATGAAGAGCAGTCCAGCTCTTTGTATTTCCTCTCCGGACAAGGAGAGTACTTGAAATTGCCCACAAGTGCTCCATACAGTTGCTCCTCATGAGATCACAAGACAGTGGTCTCTGATGGGTTTAGAGCTCTGGGAGTTGAGGGAATAGCCATCTTTGCTCAAACTGCAGTTGGCGTCTTCAAAGGGACACTAGGTTCACATACTTTCTTTTCTAATCAACATGATATAGGTAATTTTTGACAGTTCTTGGAATTCAACATGAGAACATGCTTTTTAATAAAACACATAACATTTAAGCAAAACATTAAAAATACAAACTCCCACTTTTAGTTGTTCCAATATCCTTGAAAACCTAAATGCAGAAGCGTTTCCAAGAAATAAATAAAATAGTGCAAAATTCCCATGTACCCAAATTCTGAGTCTGAGGCCCAATTTGCAGCTAGAGCACCTAGAAACAAAATCTATATATTACCATATAATACAGTAATTCAGGACTATAGCTATGCATTCTAATAACTCGACTGTCATACATTAGATTCAGTCCAATGTGGAAAAACATATTCTGACAGATATCACTCTCCCCAAAAGACCCTTAGAAATTGTATACAGTAGAAAAAAGATTTTTTCTGAGAGACTTTACATAAATTGTAAAGTAGGGATTGACTGATCCTTTAAATAATTGCTGTAATTTACTGTTTTATGCTTTCACTGTTGTTTTTACTATAGATTTTTAATTCTATGTTGTATTTTATGTAATTCTGTTACGTGATTTCTCTTCAAATAAATGTCTGCTAGATGGCTCACAAAAGTCTAGCGGTGTAATAAAAATGTTTAGTAAATCAACATCAAATTAACAATTTCAAATGATTCCCAGTTGCAAATTTTAGTCAAATGTTATTAGAAATTCCATCACATTAGTGACCTCATCATTCACAGAAAATAGTATTTTTATGAAATCAGAGAAAACTATGAAGAGTTTCATTAAAAAAAAATACTTTGAATTTTCAGAAAAAAATTAGTGTCTCCTAAAAACTTTTAGAAAAATTTAGCTGGGTTCCTAAAAAAAGTCTCTCATCATCATAATCATCATATCATATAGTATAGTATTTATAATACACCACTAGCAAACTAAATTCTCCAAGTTCATGAAGCCAAAATGGCACCAACTGTGCATGAAAAGGAAGTATATGCAGGACTAGTATAATCCCATGGTTTGCAAAGTACTTCTTGCTCATACAAAAACATCTTGACATGGGAAACTCAAAAGAGCCTATGAAAGTTGAACATGTTGAGTAGGCATGGAATACTGATTGATTATCTGAGGCAAAAAAATTGGAAAACTGAAGAGAGGAGGAATGGAGCAGAGCATAAATAGGCAACCTGATGCCCATAAGTCTTTGCATTCACCAGGTTTCATACCTGTAGTATTGTTAATTACTAGAATGTCTCTGTACTATACGTAGGCTCTGTAGGCATTTCAAGAAAATAAAAATGGTAGATAGCTGCATCCCAGTGCTTTTTTTCAGAAAAGAAATCTACTCACAAATCAAATGTGCCTATATGAATCAAATATCGATTACCTCTAATAGAGTATCTCATATCCTGATAGCAGAACTGTTACTGCATCATTCTACTGGATGTGAGCACTTTCCAAGAAATATGTATTTTCCAAATCATCACTGCACTGGCAAATACAGAACTTTTTAAAAGCCAGAATAAATCCTAAAGGAGAAAATACTTATTTAACAGAGAAATCAAACAAGAAAAAAAAAATGGGGGGGGGGTTGCAACCAAAATAAGGATATTTGGTGCAACCAAATAAGTATATATTAAATAATTAATCCCAAGAGTTAGTCAATTATATTTGACATATAGTTTTAAAATATGAATAACTATTTTTAAATCAAGAAACTTACTTTTTTAAAAAAAATATTGTATTAGGTATTATCTTCAATTTTTAAATACTATTTTTAAAATGAGTTCTTTAATGAAAATCACTAATGAATCAAGGACAATTTTTGTTCAATTAAAATTTTTCAAATCAATTAATATTAAAACCTGCAATCCTAATTAAGCTGCATAAAAGAGCAGAACAATAACCTAATTTCACTACAGTTGTCAAAAAAGCAAAACAAAAATTATATCCAGAGAAAAATTAAAAGAAAG